ATGGATGGTGTGTGCCACGCGATATGGCGTGTGTGTGGAGGTGACGTACCATATGTAATGGATGCGCACCCCGCAGTGAGTGTGTACCCGCCAGGCACCACGACACACGACAACCTGAACCACCGGAGGCACACAGTAAGGCGCTTTCAACGTCGGCCTGCTCTGTGTCGTGGCCCTTGGCGAGGCCCATGGCAACCCAGGCTGGCGCGGTGGCTGTCTTGACTCCCTTGGCCGCCTGCTGTCCCAGGACCGACAGGACGGGCCGCGGTCCGATCTCCATGACTATCTCACAAGCAAAGTCCCGAACGACTGTCTGGACGGCGCGGGCGAAGTGGACTCCCTTGATGATGTGCTCAGCCCAGTAAGTTGGTTGTCTGATCAGTTGCGCGTCGGCGACCTCTCCTGTGACAGTCGAGATGATCTGCATGTCTTCGGCAGGCGGCTGCAGCCCGGAGCTGAGCTTGCTGCAGATGATGTCGTTGAAGCGCTGGACCGTGTCGCTCATGAGAGGCGAGTGGAAGGCGTGCGAGACGGGCAGCAGCTGGAAGGCATTCTCCTTGCCGAGGCGCTTCATCGTCTCGAGCACCGCCGACGCCTCTCCTGACACCACCACGCTCCGAGGGCCGTTGGCCGCTGCCACAGCGACGACAGGCTTGCTTTCGCCGCCCGACGACGTATCTGAAATGACGCCGCTCACATGCTCCACAGCCTCGCGGGTGTCCTTCTCCGCCGCCCGACAAGCGCCATGACACCGCGACGAGAGCGGGACGCCTGCATCAGCGCAGCTCGCTGGGCTACCAGGCTCAGCCCGTCTTCCAGACAGAACACGCCAGCGACCGTCGCCGCGACATACTCGCCCAGGCTGTGACCAAGCAGCGCAGACGGACGACGGCCTTGCTGGTCGAGTATCATGGCCGTCAAAGCGTATTCGATGGCGAAGATGACAGGCTGTGCGAATTGTGTTTGGGCGAGGACGGCCGTGACCATGGGCAGGTGGACGTCCGAGGGGTTCAAGAGCATCTGCAGAGGGACAGGAAGATGGGGCGCCAGGACCTGGCCGCACCGGTCGATGGTCTCACGGAACAGCGGCTCCTTCAGATACAGCTCCTGGCCCATCCCCACACTGTGCGA